CAACCGTCTTAAACTGATGATCCATTTTCCTCTTAATTTCTAAGAGTTACCAGTAAATATTGGCATGTAACAGGACAACTAGGCAAATGTTATGAATGAAAAATTTGGGAATTTATGTTACCTTGCAGAATGCACAGTTGCCTTGGTAGCAAAATTGATTGACTTGAAAACAACAGCAACCAACTCCTTATTTATTTTGGTTTCCACTGATCTCTGGTCTCTTTAACCCTTGACACCACCATCTTATTATTTGAAAGAAGCAAGGTTTTAAAAATGAAGAGACTGACACCGAGATTAAAAACCTGGATCACTTTCAAGGCAGAAAAGAAGTTTCCTGCTGGCTTAAAAATTTTAAACAGTGATAATCAAGTACAAAACTAGATGGGAATCATCATGTGTAGAATGGTCAGGTTTCTGCATTTGCCATGCATTTAGCTTTTAATTTCTAACTTTGAACTGCAGGAAGAACATACAAGACCTAAAAACAAGATGACAGTGGGTGATCTCACAAGTGAAGGAAATCACACTGTGTTTCAAATGTCTGTTTTGACTTTCAAATTTCCATTACAAAGAACTATTATTATTCTGCCATTTGCCTCCCAAACAACCAAAGTTACCCATATGTATTTGCAGTCAAACCTTTGCATGACCTAACCCTGGGAACTGCTACCCCAGCATGAGGGCTGATTCTTGCTTTCTTCTTTGATATAGTAAAATCAACACCAGCTGATTTATCACAATACTTGCCCGCATGTGAACAATATTTCTTTTTTTTATAAATGTACAGACACATGGTGACAGCTGACGTCATCAGGAAAAAGGCTTGAGAACATAACATGACTTCTGACACTACAAGGAGGAAAAAGCGTTTAGACAAGTGGCAAAAGCCTCAAAACATGGGGGCATCTGATGAAGCTGAGTGGTGGGAGATTCAGAACAGGAAAGAACACATCTTTGCACAGCACACAGTTAAACTATGAGATTTAGACACTGAGATAAGACTTGTTATTTATACTTCCACTTGCCCTATGATTTCTAAACACAGGTCCGAGCCAAATAATGCTTACCGCTGAATTGGAACAAATGCCAATCTGCAGGAAACACAATTGATGTTCATTCCAATTTAGCAGTAAACAGTGGTTTTCCCAGGGAAAGTGAGGGGACTAAACCTCTCAATCATGTGTAGGCCCTTTACTGTGAACTGGTGTTTACACACATTCATTCATATACAAGTAGATGGTTTCATGGGGCCCATTTGCTGTACAAAAAGGATTGATAGGTCACATGGGTAAGGACTACTTGATATAAATGTATTTCCCCGTTCATGCTAAATAAGAACATAAGAAGAAACTGCTTGATCAGGCCAATGGCCCATTAGGTCCAGAATCCTCTACTCACCAGTCCCTGATGGGAAATGCTGAAAGCACGATCTGAGCACAAGAGCATTCTGCTCACCTGTGGTTTCCAGCAACTGGTATTCAGAGGCAAAATGCTTCTGACAATGGAGGTAGAACATAGCTTATGTGTGAAAAGGTGCACACAACCTCAGATCCTATGTCCCACTGTTCCTTGGGAAAGATTGAAAGATTGAAAGATCTTAACAGTATTTTATTTCCTTTCTTCTAATTCTTTATAGGGAAGTATGTATTGGAACAAGGTCAGCTATAATAGCATTGCATTCTGGAAATCTCCCAACTTAAATGGGCAGAAGCCATTTTACAAACACAAGAGCACACAAGCAGAAAATAAGACAAGTTCTGATTCCGTCTGAGAAAGACATAGAAAAAGAGACATGCCTTGTTTATCCCCGTGTCAATGCGTTGCTGTTGCCTCATAGCGCAAAGCTGTTGCATGACAGAAAAATGGCCAGAGAACTGAGACTGGGAGACACAACATCTAGGACTGTTCATAGAAGCGGCTGAATAAGTAGTTACCAAGTGACAAACTAAGTCTGTTGTCATTGAGTCTTCTGTAGTGCAGTTCTTTGTATGGAAGTAGATTGGTGGCAATCATATCACAAAAGAGGATGGGAATGGAATACAGAAAGATGGGGAAAGGTTCAGGTTTTCTAAGAACAGTGATTGCAACCATACATTGTTAACAGGTGTTTTTAGCATTCATGTAATAGAAATCCTTCCATCCTGTATCCCATAAAGAATCTCACTTAAAAGTCCCTTTTAAAACCACAGAATTGCATCTGCTTAAGGGCAGAATGTACTTCACATAAATAAAGATCTTGTTTTTGGGTCACTGAACATATTCATTGATTAAAACAGCAAATGTAGAACTCGCTAGTGCGAGGGGAGGAGAAAATTTACTGCATGCTGCAAAAGAACTTATTGGTTGCAATTTATTAGGTCTACTTCTTAGCCAAATGAATGAAAAGAATGAATTCCAGGTTTTCTGTTCACCAAGGAAAGAAGGAGATTAAAAATCAATGCCAGCATTATACCACTGATGTCAAAGTTCATGCTTCAGTTGCAGATTCAGTAAAATTCTTAAGCCTCTAAGCTGAAATAAGAAAATCCATAGGGTTCCTTTGCTTTTGCTTTCCAAACTGCAGAGTTTAATCAACAGTGGGTAATTAGCTGGATGCAAGTTCAATATGGTATGTAAAGTCAGATATGGTATGTATGTTGTTGCCATGTTGGTCCCAGGAAATAACTAGTCAATCCATAGCCATTAAAAGCAATAAAGCTCTTTTCATTGACTTAAACAGTGTGTAGTTGATCATAAAAAAAGGTAAAGGACCCCTGACAGTTAAGTCCAGTCGCGAACGACTCTGGGGTTGTGGTGCTCATCTCGCTTTACTGGCCAAGGAAGCTAACGTTTGTCCGTAGACAGTTTTTCCAGGCCATGTGGCCAGCATGACTAAGCTGCTTCTGGCTAAACCAGAGTAGTTCATGGAAACGCCGTTTACCTTCCCACCAGAGCAGTACCTATTTATCTACTTGCACTTTGACATGCTTTTGAACTGCTAGGTTGGCAGGAGCTGGGACAGAGCAACGGGAGCTCATCCCATTGCGGGGATTTGAACCAACAACCTTCCGATTGGCAAGCCCTAGGCTCAGTGGTTTAGACCTCAGCGCCACCTGCGTTTATTGGAGCAACCTTGCCCACTGATCCACTTCCATGGGGAAATTGCCGCATCACAATCAATGGCCAAGGCATCAGGAATATACCAATGGGATATATATTAGGCATTGTTTTCATTGTACAGTGGTACCTCGGGTTAAGTACTTAATTCATTCCGGAGGTCTGTTCTTAACCTGACTGTTCTTAACCTGAAGCACCACTTTAGCTAATGAGACCTCTTGCTGCCGCCGCGCCACTGGACCCCGATTTCTGTTCTTATCCTGAAGCAAAGTTCTTAACCTGAAGCACTATTTCTGGGTTAGCAGAGTGTGTAACCTGAAGCGTATGTAACCTGAAGTGTACGTAACCCGAGGTAGCACTGTATTTAATTATTTAATTATTCCCAGTTGCTTTTGTGTGGGAAGTGGTTCATAAATGAAAGACAACATCACGGCAATGCATGATTTCTCTTGCTATTGAGATCGGACAGCAGGGCATTGATTTGTAATTGATGCTGACTTAAAGTCAAAAGTTGCAAGCATCTCACCCTTGCAAACCTCAGCTGAAGTGTAAGTGCAGCTGGCCTAACCACAGGCTATTTCTGGTCTCGCCTTCTGCTGAGCAATGATAAACTATTATGCAATAAAAAATGAAATCAATGACATACTCACCTTGCTGAGTGACTTAATTTGCTGGTGAGAACCATTGTATTAAGCACTAGCTGGGCTGGCTAGCATGGTCATATTTGAAAGAGCAAGCATATTGCAGATATCAGGTTTAATGAATAGCATGCTGGCATTAACTGGACAATTATTGATCCCAAATGTAGCATAGATATAGTATCTCATACGATTACAGCTTGCTTGGTTGGAAAGACAAACAATTGGTGATATAATTAGAAGAGATCCATTTTGCTTATGCTAGGTAAATATGTGGAAGCCTAAATAATATAAGCAACATGGCACCCTAGAACAATATGCAAATTTTAATCATTTGTTTGTAGAATTGCAATTTTGTGTGTGTTGCAACTTTCTAGTAATTCAGAAATGTTGAGAAATCTACCTCGGCCAACTCTTTCTTTTAATTTTAAAATACATGTTCAGCTGCTGCAACAGAAACCAATTTCATTTATGTGCTCTCTTTTTCATTTCTCTGTCTCTGCCATTTTAGTAGACCACTCATTGTCAAAATCTCAGATATCTAGAATTTCTGAGGTTATCAATTTCCCCTCACACCCTCCCAATTTAAACTACATTTAATTTACATTAATATGAGCATTTTACATTGGTCTCTTCAATCAAGAAAATTCCAGAATTTATTGCTATGCCAAAGCCCTAGAAAGGGAAACCAAATGAGCAAACTAAATGCATTGCTGTGTTCATTTAAAATAAAATAAAATGAGGATTTCAATAATGGATCAGCCATGCACAGTTCCCAGCAGTAACATTCTGGGGAAAGTGCTTTGTTGATTAGAATAGTCTAGGAAAAGCTCAGATTTCCTAGCTTGGAGTACTCAGATGGAACAATACAGTGGTAACTCGGGTCCGTTCTTAACCTGAAACTGTTCTTAATCTGAAGCACCACTTTAGCTAATGGGGCCTCCTGCTGCTGCCACGCCACCGGAGCACAAGTTCTGTTCTCATCCTGAAGCAAAGTTCTTAACCTGAAGCAGTATTTCTGGGTTAGCGGAGTCTGTAACCTGAAGCATATGTAACCTGAAGCATATGTAACCTGAGGTGCCACTGTACCAGCTTTAGACAGGGATCCTGTTTTTCCTTCTCCTAAACCTTCAACTAGGAGGTTTCCCGAAACTAGGGCTTTCTTAACCCGAAAATGGAAAACACCCAATCAAGCAAGTCTCATCAGACATCCTACGTACTGGCTCCATTTTGAGTCGGTCATCTTCTGCAATTCTAAGAAGGGCTGCAGCTCAATGGTAGAGCATCTGCTTTGCATGCAGAAGTTCCCAGGCTTAATTCCTGGCATCTCCAGCTAAAGTTGGAGAGCCACTGGTACTCAATGCTGACAATACTGACTGAGCTGGATGGGGCATTCCTCCGACTCAGTACAAGGCAGCTTCCTGAGTTCCTATGGCTGGCAAATAAACCTTTTGGAAATCCAAGGCTGGTTAAAATGGGCACTGCTGCTCTGCTCCCTAATCTCCTCACCTTGCCCATCATTTCACAAAATGCCATGCCGTGCTTTTACAGTGGTACCTCTGGTTGCGAACAGGATGCGAACGGGATGAAAAGAGAGCAACCCGCAGCGGCGCATTTGCACATGCACGGGTTGTGATTCGTCGCTTCTGCACATGCGTGTGATGTCATTTTGTGCTTCTGTGCATGTGTGAGCAACGGAACCCGGAAGTAACCCTTTCCAGTACTTCCGGGTCACTGCGGGACGTAACCTGAAAGAACGTAACATGAAGTGGACATAAAATGACTCTGTGTGTGTGTGTGTGTGTGTGTGTGTATGCTACTCCCCCCACTCTTGCATAGTGATAGGTTAGTGCAGCTTCCTGAAGTGTTTGTGTGTGTGAAAGAGAGAGAGAGAGAGAGAGAGAGAGAGAGAGAGAGAGAGAGAACAAGGTGGCTGTACATCCAATCTCTTAACACAAACTCCAACTATATCAGTTGGTATACCAACAGGGGAGTCTTTAGCATATGTGCTGCCGGGGTGTAAAGATCTGCTCAGTGTCCCCAAGCCTCACAAGCGCCGCCGTTGTGAATGACAAGTGCCGGCGGCGGCACGGCACATCTTTGGTAAATGAGCGCACAAAGTCAAAAGTCCTTTAGTGAAACAGTAGGTATACATTTTGTTTTTCTAGCTTGATCAAAATTATTTATTATCTCATAACAGGTAGGTAGCTTAGGTGGCTTCAGCGGTGGGTGCTGGGTGCCCCCCAGAATTCAGCACCTGCACCCCTTGCACCCCTGCGTAAAGATGGCCCTGAAGTTGCATCATACAGAGTGCAAAATGACTGCATACAAGTTTTCAGAGAAACAGGCAAAGACGCAACACTGTGGGAACACAGTAAGGAGCTTCCATAATTTCGTACGTCAGAGTGGGATGGGGACAAGTGAAGCTGTCACATAAGGAACTGGGCTTGGGCCATCAAGGGAAGATGTCCCTTGCAATGGAGAGTTATGATGAAATAAGGCACCTTGCTGTTCTAAGAGAAAGGGAGCATATAGCTGCTTGCCTCGATTTTTATTACTCTGACATCTCCAACTGAAGGATCTTAAAGATCAAGGCTTTGGTAAAGGCTGGTCCAGAAGGAGGGTCATTGACCAAGCAAGCAGTTGGCTGTACTAGGCAAGATTCACATTACCAGTGTAGCATGTCCACTTAAAAATCAGAAACATAAATAATATTTGGCTCCGGCACAGGATTCTGTGAAGACCAGAGAAACAAGGAAAATTCTATGTGTGCCATCACCAATGAGCTGTAAAGAGAAAATGATGCATGCATCAGTTAATGAAGTGCAAAATTAATCAGTGCTTTGGGGGACTCCTACTGCCCAGTGACCTTAAAATGGGAAATCAAGTATCACTCATAATTCTTTGGCGGAGCACTTGGAAAGTCAGCTAAGGACAAATGGGGAATTCTATGAACAGTTGGTCTGCTGTGAACACTACTCTACTCATTTATTTCTAGCAATAAACCCTCAGAGCTTTTAGGATTTCATTTCTGCTGCGTTGAAAATCACAAATGCTTTAAGCCATTGGTTGCTGTTGGAAAACAAATAGTGCTGCAGCTGATTCTATCTGGGTAGATTTCATCCCACAATAAATCATTAAATTCTAGTGGTTAGTACAATATCTGTTGTACGTGCCTGGGTTTATTTTTTTCTGGTGTTTTAAAACTGAAATTGCCACCTTCTTTTTCCCATCTGAAGGAAAGGAGTCTAGAAAGAATTAGCAATCACTGGCATGTTTGCCAGAAATGCAATATCATTATAAACTGGATATTCTCAAACTGTGTCATCATGAGACACCAATTCCCACCTGTATGGAAAACAATTGGTTTGACTACATACGATGTGTTTTTTCTGATAAAGGTTCAGTAGCTTTTATAGGTTATGCCTCAAGCTTGTGGGTTTCTAGGTATAGATCTAGTTCATGGAGCACCCAATGGGGAGCTGGCACTTGGGACAATGCATGATGTGAGCCTGAGAGGCTTAGTTTATACATTTATTGCCCTGACACAAAATTACCGTAACTAAGCAAAAGAGCTGACTATTGCAACAGTGGGTCAAAGCTGACTATGAGTGAACCTCCCTTAGGGACTCCAGTATAAATCAGAAAGTGTGTGGTTTGAATCCTGCCATTACCATAAGCTCATCAGGTGGCCTTAGGAAAGAAAGCCACTTTCTCTTAGCATCAGGAATATAGGGAATAAATTAATACTGGCATAACTGTAAGGATAAAGCATGTAAAGCACTTTGAATGCTGGAAAGCGCTATGAAAATAATGATGATAATAATAATAATAATAATAATAATAATAATAATAGGTAAAGGTACCCTCTGACTGTTAGGTCCAGTCATGGACGACTCTGGAGTTGCGCGCTCATCTCAATCTATAGGCTGAGGGAGCCGGCGTTTGTCCGCAGACAGTTTTTCCGGGTCATGTGGCCAGCATGACTAAGCAGCTTTTGGTGAACCAGAGTAGCGCACAGAAATGTCGTTTACCTTCCCGCTGGAGTGGTACCTATTTATCTACTTGATGTGCTTTTGAACTGCTAGGTGGGCAGGAGTTGGGACCGAACAGTGGGAACTCACTCTGTTGCGGGGATTCAAACCACCAACCTTCCGATTGGCAAGCCCTAGGCTCTGTAGTCCTCTCATAAACTGTTGTGACAGTTTTTATTAAATGGACCTCTGGACTGAACTGGGCAGAGGGCTTTGATATCGTCTGACTTTTATTTGAAAACTGCTCTTTTCTGTTCAGTTCAGTTTATTTTTTAAAAAAGTTTTAAAATTCTCTCTGTAAGGATAAATGGATTCTGGTCAGGAAATCTTTGTTCATATGGAAAAGAGCAAAAAGAATGTAAAAAAAAGACCACTCTTCCCTTGCAGTAAAGATAAAATATTCAGAGTGTGTTGGCAAGCAGACTTTTCTTTCTTTAAAAATGTCTTTGCAGGCTAAAATCTAAATGCAGTGGGAAAGACACTTTAGACAAAAGGCACTGCAAAGGCACTTTTTATTACTCTTTGTGCCTGAACTATTTAGCACTGCACCAACCCTCCTGCTGCAGTCCTATAGAAAACATCTGAATCATTGCTACATGGGTCTGCCTCCCGGAATAAATAGCTGCTTGGGAAAAGCTGTTCAGGAAATCTCCCTGCATTCAACCCTTAGAAACAAAATATCAGCTTGACATGCTGTGGAGTAGAATGGGTAATCTATTTTGGTAGAACAAGTTAAAGACAACATGTACTTGCTGAGACCCGAAGATTTAATTCACACTGGTATAGGATTCTTAGGAAGGATTTGCATTAATAGTTCCATTTTCCCTAGCCTTAATAACTTTCGCATTTTTCGTATGCTGTAAAATCTGAAACAATGCATGAGCCAATAACACACGTTAATATGACCTCAGCTACTAGTGCAGTTTAAAAATGTTGGTGCCAAAGTTAATGTGAGAGAGAAAAGAACCAAATGGCAAAGCTCTTCACAGACTGAACCATTTCAAGCCAGAGGTGAGAGGTTTTCGTGTTTCAGAGTTTGGGTGGAGGCATGCAATCAGTTCTGGATGAGGTTGCACTGTCCCTGAAGAGCTGGATATGTGGCTTGGGGCTTCTCCCGGGCACATTGTAATCTGTGCATGGACTACTGATATCATTGGTCCATACCCACTCAGAACATGGCTAGCCAATCAGCAGCTACATGCCTCCATAGTGTTGACGTCACTGCCACCACATAACTCCTTCCTATAAGAGTGAAGAAACCTCCATCATAGTCACCTCATTGCCAACCGTCACGGAGAAAGATACTTTGGAGCTGCTGCAAAAAGATTTCTGGAGAATTCACACCTTCCTTCAAAGCCAACTCAAGCTCAGGTTTACTCAAAGCTATAGTTAGCCATGACCTTTTAAACCAGTGGCTTCCAGGGGTTTTTTTTAGGCCACTGCCCTTGGTTCTATAAGCTCAATCCCCAGTGCCCCTTACCTTACCGTATAAAAATCATTGGTCATAATAGCACTTTGCACAACTCACTAAGGAAGATAATAGCACAATAAAATGGAGACCAGTAACAATGAATTGCATATTTATTCAAAATGCAATTAAAAACTATTTAGTTTAATTTAGTTTTGATACCATCACCCATGATATCCTTGTGGAGCAGCTGTCTGAGTTAGTGGTGGGTGGCACCACTTTGCAGTAGTTGTGGTCCTACTTGGATGGTCATTTCCAGAGGGTGATGCTGGGGGAGTGCTCTTCAGTGTGGGGTTCCTTGGGGTTGTTTAACATCTACATGAAACAGCTGAGTGGGGTTATCCAGAGTTTTTGATTCATTGTCAGCAATATGCTGATGACACACAGCAGTGGGTGTGTTGGACCATTGTCTTACCTTGGTAATGGACTGGACGAGAGCCAACAAACTGTAGCTGGTGGCCTAGCTGCACTCTTATCTGGACAGGGGTTCCCTAATTACTGTTGTCCATGCTCTGGTCGTGGGTGGCGCTGTGGTCTAAACCACAGAGCCTAGGGCTTGCCGATCAAAAGTGGGCGGTTCAAATCCCCACAATGGGGTGAGCTCCCATTGCTCGGTCCCTGCTCCTGCCAACCTAGCAGTTCGAAAGCATGTCAAAGTGCAAGTAGATAAATAGGTACTGCTCTGGCAGGAAGGTAAACGGCGTTTCCATGTGCTGCTCTGGTTTGCCAGAAGTGGCTTAGTCATGCTGGCCACATGACCCGGAAGCTGTCTGTGGACAAACGCTGGCTCCCTCAGCTAGTAAAGTGGGATGAGCGCCGCAACCCCAGAG